CCAGAAGTCCCACATTGACATTTGAATAAAAATAATTGTGGTTATCTATCTGTCAGTTTACCGCTTGACAGATAGATATCCTCAATTATTTGTATTCAAATGTCAAGGAGAAACTTTTTGATGTGGAGCATACGTTAAAGACGTATCGCCAGTAGCGCCACCACTCGTAACAAATGTACAACTTTTAAATTAAAAGTTTTAATAATCAGCTGGCAAACGCTTATGTTACAAACTAGTGTTTTTGAGAATAAAGCCGGAAAATATTAAAAAATATCGGGAAATAAAGCGTGGCTCGATTTGTTGTGTTGTTGGGTGTACTTCAAAAGGAAATCCTGGGTTGAGTTTTTACCGGTTTTCCAATAAACAGTGTTAATCTGAATTAAGAAATAAATTGCATACAGTCTCTGCAAATATAAATTGTACCTATTAGATACAATAAATACACATTTTAGTAGTGATTAACGTGAAAAGGGTAAACATTTCAATTCAGTAAAAATAGTCAAACAAATAAGTCGTCTAAATTTAAACAGCATTAAAAGCCTTGATTAAGAAAGTCCCCACTCAACGGTAAAATACCATTATATTATGTATTATTATAATATATAATATAATATATATATATATATATATATATATATATATATATATATATATATATATATATATATATATATATATATATATATATAGGCCTCAGAGCAAAGTCAACAATCTCCGTCAGACTGAGTAAATTGAGATAATTGATTTTGGTATTTTAAATTCTAGATTTGTAATTTTTTTATATATATTATATTGAAATATTGTTGTTGTTGGTCTAGTAGCCAACTACAAGGTCTCCAGGATGCATAGTATAGGTGAAATCTGTGTTATTTTTAATTATTTTGCATGAAACTATTTTCCAAAAAGAAAAATCAAATAAAAAACTTACTGAGCATAGTTTAACAGATTAAATTTATAGGTTGAGTGATATACGTCAAGATTATTTCTCGAATTAAAGGAAACTATTTGACAATTCATAAAATCTGACGTATGTGTCAAAATTTATAAATATTTTTTTAAAGAAAATTCCATTAATTTAAGATATGTAATAAGTAATAATTGATATTTCGTAAACTAGATAACTTATTTTATATTGTTTTTTAAAAAATGTTTCTTAAAACTTGTAAATAACACCATAAAATCGTAAACAAAAATCCAATATGGAGGCTAAAATTTAATCGCTGTTAAATAGTTCTAGTGATTTAATCGCTTATTTAAACGAAATTTATTCGAAAATTCAAGGCTTTGGATTGGTTCATATTATAATGAGGGAAATAATCAATTGAAATCGAGTACTAAAAAGTTTTTTAATTTTTTCCTTGCAACGTAAAATACAAATAACGTGCGCGATTTAGCTGTGCTATTGAACAAAATTTGTCGAGTAAGACTTCTGCCTTCCTCTCTTTTATAAAAAAATCTACCTATTTATTTAAAAATGAAGTATAATCTGTGCTTTAAATCTATTGTTGACAATTCTTAAATTCACGCAATGCTATCGAAGCCCACCAGATGGCGCGCGCGTTGCGAAAACCCGATACTTCTTTAACGGAAGTAAAGTAGGTACATTTTATAATTTTATATTATAATACAATTTTATCCTCATGCAAATTTAAAATACTAACGAGAAACACGATACTGCAAGAGCAGGAACAGGAACAAAGCAGTTTCTTAAATTAAATGTTTATCAAATATTAGACTTCCATTCGTCGAATGTTTGCTCAGTTAGAAATAACTTGAAAATCTCAACAAGCTGCTTAAATAAAGTTTGTCGACGAGTTTACTGCCTGCAAAATATTTTACTGCTGTCCACGATAAACGAAAATTTAATTACCTTACCTTGCTCCTCCTTCTACTCGGTAACGTGCGAATGCTGGTTTAAATTAAATCTCTTGGATATTGTAAAAGTATTGTTGGGGGAAGTTTTAAATTTGGCTTATCAGTTGCGGTCGAGTTAACATTATTTCATTTTGTTGACTGCCATATTCGCGGCCTATCTTGTCTTCAGATATATAAAATAAAAAAGTATTAAAAAAAAAGATTATAAAATATAAAATTAGTGTTGGTTCTTTACTAGGTTATTGAAACAAGGTTTTATCCAGTTTCGAGTTAGTTAACTTATTTTAAATGGTGTACAATGTACACATGTCTACATGTACACATGTCTACATATGGGCCATAACACGTCACCAATTTGCGATATAAGGCCGTCGGGAAATATTATTCTAGCTATTAAATTTTATTGTAGCAAAACAAAAATTATTTTTATGATTATGCCATCATATGCCAGATTTATTTTTTTGCACATGGTGTTAGTAAAATGCTGTATTTCAAATATTATTATTCTAGCAATTAATTTTTTTAAGCGAAAATTACAGTTTTATTCAAAACCACTTGGACCCTGTTTTCCAATCTACATAATCAGCCATATTCCATACTTACTATACTAAAAATTTCCCCCAGGATATTATACTCAAAAAAAGAAATCGATTTGACAGATTAGCAGAGTTTTACAAAAATGCTTTACAAAATATTTGCTTACTTCCTAAATTGTGTAACGTTTATACATAAAACGCTTATTAATTCAAAACTGTAAAACAAATTTACATAATTATATAAATCATTAAAGTATAATATAAACAAGAATGGTCCTAGTACACTTCCTTGGAGAACACCCACATCAACCTCTTTTTCTGATGATTTCGAACCATGATACAATAAAAATTGCCTGCGGTGCATTAGATACGATTTTAACAAAGTATTGCAGTGACGACGCAAACCAAAATATTCAATTTTTTTCAAAAGAAGGTTGTGATCCCCACAATCAAAAGCTTTTTAAAGATCAACAAATACCGCCATAACATGTTCACCCTCTAACTTTTTATAAATAATATCTATAATATCTACTAGTGCTGTGATTGTTGATCTCTGTTGCCTAAAGCCATGTTGACTATATTTGTTCATTTATAATAATAATAATAATAATAAAATAATAATAATAATAAACGTCTTTATTGAAATAAGGAAATAAATTATTTCAAATGGCGGAATTTGAATTTAAACATTAAAAATGTAAAAATTCATTCTTACATTCAACCGAAAAATTATACTTATTATTAAATTATTAATAACTGCCTACCAATGCCGTGCGTAGGATTTTCTTAAGGGATAAAACTAAAAAAGATACGAAATCCGCAGTCTACCAACTACAATGTCCAGACTGCCCAAAAACTCACATAGGCCAAACTGGCCGGAATTTTAAAAGCAGAATTAATGAACATAAAAAGTCGTTTATTAATCAAAAAACATATTCAACTTATGCCAACCATTTAATTCTAGAAAATCACTTATAAATTCAAAATTTTCCATGTTGCAGAAAAAGGTACAAAGTTATATTTACAAGAATCATTAAATATTAATAAAAAAAAGATATTATACTTAATGATCAAATAGTAACAAATAATCCCCTCTGTTAAATTTATTCGAATATTATGTAAGATAAAAAAATTTCCAAAATTACTGTTGTTTATTATACTTCGGCAGGTAAAATTGTCATACTGTGCTAATATTTAAAAAAAACATTTCCTGCAATAATTGTGTTATGGGCCATTCCACGCTTAACGGATAGGACAGCCGCCGTGTTTTTATTTACAAAATAATATTGTTCCACCATATTACCAATGTCAAATTTTTATAAATAGCTCTAAACAAAAGCTATTTAACAAGGTTTTTATTTGGCAAAATTAGGTATCGTGATTGACTGTCCAATTCCTTAAAAATTAATAATTTAAAGCGTAACGGTCGGGACTATTGCAAAGTCCCGACCGTTACGCTTTAAATTATTAGTTTTTAAGGAATTGGACAGTCAATCACGATACCCAATTTTGCCAAATAAAAACCTTGTTAAACAGCTCCAGTTTAGAACCATTTATAAAAATTTGATATTGGCAATACAATAGAACAACATTATTTTGTAAATAAAAACACGGCAACTATCCCATCCGTCACGCGTGGAATGGCTCTTATATAAGTTTGTTATTAGATAAAAAAATCATTTCTGAAAAAACTACTGTGTTAGCGAAACAATTGTCAAATTAAATTAAAATAAATTCGTGAAACTAAAAGTACAGTGTTTGTTTTTTATCTAGTTATATATTTATAAAACGAGTTGCGTACTATACTTTATCTACGAAGGAAACAAAGACTTCAGCCCGTGACTAAAATGCTCAAAATCCACTATTGCCAACTTCAGCCCGTGACTAAAACGCCATAAAGTCACAGCTCGTCAATGTAGTAGTAGATACAATAATTTATAGATCTGTTTTATTTAGAATCCTAACTTAAGGTACCAACTCTTCTGAAAGAAAAACCAGAACTCTAATAAAAAATCTGTATTTTTTATAAAATGTTTACATTTATTTTTATTAACATAATATTATTGCAAATTAAGATTTTTTTAAACTATATTTTTCTTTGGAGTGAATTTTTTTTATTAGTACTTCATTTTTTTTAAGCATGTTGTGAAATTCAATGCATGTTTGATCGAAATTTGTTTCAATATGCAATTGTGATTTGTCTTTTGTCCAAAAGTTGTTCATATTGGAAAAAACTCTCTCTACAGGACTATTTGTTCCAGATAAACACATACAATATTCCACTAAAATTTCAAGATTGTTCCAATGAACATCATGATTAGTAAAATAATTGAATATTTCGACCCACTTTGATTCAAGTGTTGAAGAACCTTTTTTCCAATTTTGAATTTTTTCTTCAGTGACAAAGTTTCTTAAAACCGAAATTTTATCAAAAAGCTCTGTGTCGATAATTTTTACGTGTTCAAAATTTTGTATTATATATTGAGCAGAAGGTTCTATTTGATTGTAGGTTGGAATCTGATCAAGTAGAACCCATTGAAAGCACTCAACATCAGTAAAATGTTGACCCCATTGATCCAAATATTCAATTCAAGTGGAATAAAAAGTTTTAATTGCTATTTCGATAGAAATACTATTGATCATAGCTTCTACTTCTAGATTTTTCATTAGTTGTTTAACAGCAAATGGCAAGAACAACTGATTACGTCTTTCAATCAATTTAATTTGAAAGTCCTTATATAATTTAATCACTTCTAATAAAGAAATATTTTGTCCCTCCATTTTTAAAATTATATTGTGAAATGATTCTGCAATATGATGAACAAAAAACAACCATAATTCATTAACTGGATCTTCAAAGAAGTTCTTAATTAAGACTGGACATTTTTCTTGCGAAGCAAAGTAAGATTTTAAAGCGCGATACATTTTCAAAATTCGTTCTATCGCTGGTAGCAATGCCAACCAACGATTAGCACTATATCCTAATAATTTTTTATATTCAATGTCAACAAATTCACAAAAATGTTTTAGTTCTTCCGTTCTCACAGTATAAGTATGGAAATATAAATAGATTTTCACTATGACAGCTTCGATATCCATCGGCAAGCAATCCGCCGCTGTTTTTACACAATTATTCATTATATGAGCTAAACATCCAATTCCGATGAGGGGGCGATTAACAGTAGATTTAATTTTATGAAATACATTGTTTAATCCTCTTCTAGATGCTCCACCAAAATTACAGTTTGTGTTGTCAGCAGAGATTCCCAATAATTTTGATGTAAGGTCATATCGCGCCAAAGTGTCAATAATATAGTTTGAAATAATATCAGAGGTTTCCCCAGGCTGCTCTTTAATTTCTAGTATTTTCACCTGCACACCCCTAGGAGTAAAAAAGCGCACAAGAATCGGGATCACTTTGGTAGCGTTGTGGTTTGATACATCCGAAAACACGGTTATAAAATGAACTTGAGATAAAGCATCTAATAGTTCTTTGATTGCAAATGGGGCCAATACGTGAGTAATAATTGATTCCGTTTTCGTACGCGCGCTGGAATATTTTGGTTCAAAACAATGTTGAATTAATTTTGAAGTGCAGTCCGTCGATCTAAAGGACTGGTTGTGAAAAACTGTGTGGTAAGCCCAGCATCCTTCAATTGTTGCCAGTTTCTTTTCGTTTTCTTCCAAAGAAGCGCTTTTCAAAAAAGAAGTAACCTTGGAACTGGATGCTCCTGCGAAGGCTGCTTTCCTATGCTTTATTGTTTTGATGTGATTTTCTACATCGTATTTGCCGCTATTAGCAACTGAAAACACGGACAAACATTTTTGGCACTTAACTGTAAAACCTTTTAAATCTTCCTTTTTCAAATATGGGTAATTCTTTTGCATTTCTGCATTAAAGGTGCATTTTCCTCTTTGCTGAGGCATATTATTAAGAGTTTGAAATATAACGAAATCAACACGTAAAAAACAAGATATTACAGATAGATATTACAACATTTAACCACAATAAAACGCGCAGGCGTCAGGGACATGCGCAATACTAAAATAGTGGGGAGAACCAAGTGCGAACGCCAACGCGAATGTATTTAGTGGGAGTAGGGCGAGCAGGGTTGCACGATTGGGCGAAAAATCTGGCAAAGTGGAAAATATAATTTTATGTATACTGCTTAATTAGTATTGTAGGTATATCTAGGTATAAAAACAGAATAAAACAGAAAAGCTTTTGAAAAACAGAACTTTTACTCTACTTAATTTACAACCAGAACATGGTTCTCAAAAACAGTATAGTTCTGGTTAAATCAGAACGGTTGGTCACCTTACCTAACTGGACATTGATAAACCGGCCCTTAGAAGTGTATCTATCCTATGTGGTTTACAAGCAAAAATATCATTAAGGGGTTATTGGTTTTGCTTTAACAATTGCGATTTTGGGTACATTTTAAGTAGTGTAATATTTTTTTTTATTTTAAGACTTTTAATGAGGTGTTTAAACCCCCAAACCCCCCTTGCGCACAGGCCTGCTGCCAACAGTTTCAGTAAAAATAGTTAGGCCTATATGATATATCGACTGTTTCCGCGTATCTGACTAAAGTTAAAAAATTGATTTTTATACACACTTTCAGACGTTCTTTTTCCTCACATAGGGGAAAAGCGTATTCAAAGTATTAAGCTATTATAGCTTAAAACAGGAAAAGTAAGAAGTGCCGATGAAAAGAGAGTCTTTGAAATAATTGCGTCAAACCGTTTACTGCAAAGAAAAATCCACCACCAACTTTTTTCGCTTTATGCAAAACAGTTCGGGCGACTTTTCCAAAGTCGATGACTCGTTCGAAAGGCTTGATTGATGAATTGCTGGGTTGCCGTTTTGTTTCTTTGTCGTCGAGCACGGTTATTGTTTTTTCCTAGTTCATGGTTCAGTATTTATTAATTTTAATTAAATTTTAAAGTTTGATTTATCGAGCGCGAGAAAATAGCGAACGATTTCTTTTAATTAAAAAGTTGTGACTTGTCAATGCTTTCGCCGTAATTACACAAAACAAAATTTACTTCAGGAAAATATTACTTGGGAAATTTATGATCAAATTAAAGTTTGAATAACAATTTTAAGTTTTTTTATTTATTTACTTTTACTTTTACTATTTACTATACGTATATATAAAAATGAATCGCCGTGCGTTAGTCCTGCAAAAACTCGGAAATGGCTCAACCGATTTAAATATTTTTTTGTTTTGTTTGCCTCAATACAGGAATGAATTAAATTTAAAAAAATACATTAGGAAAAACCGAAAGGAACAGCCGGACAATCGAAGAAATCTAAATTCGTATAACTTTGGTTTAATTTGAATAGATGGCGTTCGTAGCTGCGCTTCAAATTAAATGAAAAACATAACCACAAATTCATTAATTCATTCATTTTGTTCGCATCAATAAAGGGGTGGCTTAAAAAAAACATTAGGAAAATCCGAAAGGAATAGCCGGAGAACCGAAATTCGTACAACTTTGGATCAATTTGAATAGATGGCGTTCGCAGCTGCGCTTTAAATTTAATAACTAGGTATTAAACTCGAAAATGGCTCAACCGATTTAAATTTTTTTTGTTTTGTTTGCCTTAATACAGGAGTGATTTAAATAAAAAATAAATTAGGAAAAACCGAACCAATTATATATATATATATATATATATATATATATATTAGGGTGTGCCAAAAAACCTCGATATTTTTTTTTTCTTGCTCTCAACCCAAAATATCGTAGAATATGTCCGAACAAATATTCTGTTAAAAGCGGAGCTCATAATTTCAATTTTAAGAGGTCCTCCATCGAATCTGAAGTTTTGCCGCTTAAATAACACAGAAAACTGACTTTTTTACCTTATTTATTCTTGCATCCTAGGAAGAAATTTTTTTTTCATAAAATCCATGACTAATTCTTACAAAGCATTAAATTTGGAAGAAAAAATCTTATTAAGCCGAATTTCTATTTTCATTATTTGATTTTTTACAGAGCTTTAAATTTAAAATTTTACGTTTTTTGCCTTTTTCAGCTAAACTATTTAAGTTAGACGAAAAAGTCAAATGGCAATTTTTTAGCTTGTCTGATGGACCATAAAAAAGTTTTAGGCGAATTTTTTGTATCGTCAATATTCTTAAAGTTACAGGCGTATAAAGTCATCATTTTTGTATTATTAACTTTAAATTTAAAGCTCTGTAAAAAATAAAATATTGAAAATAGAAATTCAGCTTAATAAGATTTTTTTGTCCAAATTTAATGCTTTGTAAGAATTAGTCATGGATTTTATGAAAAAAAAAATTCTTCCTAGGTTGCAAGAATAAATAAGGTAAAAAAGTCAGTTTTCTGTGTTATTTAAGCGGCAAAACTTCAGATTCGATGGAGGACCTCTTAAAATTGAAATTATGAGCTCCGCTTTTAACAGAATATTTGTTCGGACATATTCTACGATATTTTGGGTTGAGAGCAAGAAAAAAAAAATATCGAGGTTTTTTGGCACACCCTAATATATATATATATATTAGGGTGAGCCAAAAAAACTAACCTATCGGATTTATGGGTTAAAATGAACCTACATACAGAGCAAAAAATTTTCCTGCAAGGAAAAATTTTTTGTTCAATTTTAAAAGGTGTCGGTGAGCATTCTAAGTTTTCCATTGAAATAACACGTAAAAAAATCTTTTTTCATTAAAAAAAATATAACTTTTGAACCGTTTGAGATAAAAATTTTTACGTCGCGTATTCTTGTAGAGCATAAAATTTCCTACAAAATCTATCCCAGAATTATTTTTTTTCAATTTAAAAATTCGTATATTTGAAAGCTTTGAAAAGTGAAAAAAATCATAATATTTAGTTTTAGTGTTTTTTGACTAAAAATGTTCATTAGGGTGTTTCATTTAAAACGAAAAAATTTTTTTTCTTGCTGACACATGAAAATTTTGGTTTTTAGGTTGAAAAAAAAATTCCCTGAAAATTTGAGCCCTTAATTTTGATTCTAAGTACTTCCTTTTTAATTTTGTAGTTTTTCCATATAAAAAGCATGTATTTTTAATCATTTTTACTTTAAATTTCTATATTTTGGTCGGGTTTTGAATTATAATTTTTATCACCATAATAAAGGCCCTGCATCAATTTTGTTTTTGATTTATTTACGTTGATTGTAGTAGCTCCAAAAGTCGTTTTTTCACTTTTTCTCATATTTTTGAGAAAATCGAGCGAATGACTGGTTTTACCAAAAAAGTTCAAATAAAAAAGTTGTAGAAAATTTAATTTTTGACTAAAAAGGTTTTTACGTTCATATCACTAAAGTGCTTTGTTTAAGAGATATAAGCAATATATAGTTGTTGAATGAAATTACATAAATTTCAATAAAACCTATTTTTTCTTTGTTTTTGGTTATTGAATTGCTTATATCTCTTAAACAAAGCACTTTAAAGATATGAACGTAAAAACCTTTTTTGTCAAAAATTAAATTTCCTACAACTTTTTTATTTGAACTTTTTGGGTAAAACCAGTCATTCGATGGATTTTCTCAAAAATATGTGAGAAAAAGTGAAAAAAAACGACTTTTGGAGCTACTACAATCAACGTAAATAAATCAAAAACAAAATTGATGAAGGGCCTTTCAAAAACCGTGAATACTATGCAGAAAATTATGGTGATAAAAATTATAATTCAAAACCCAGCCAAAATATAGAAATTTAAAGTAAAAATGATTAAAAATACATGCTTTTTATATGGAAAAACTACAAAATTAAAAAGGAAGTACTTAGAATCAAAATTAAGGGCTCAAATTTTCAGGGAATTTTGTTTTCAACCTAAAAATCGAAATTTTCATGTGTCAGCAAGAAAAAAAAAATTTTCGTTTTAAATGAAACACCCTAATGAACATTTTTAGTCAAAAAACACTAAAACTAAATATTATGATTTTGTTCACTTTTCAAAGCTTTCTTTCAAATATACGAATTTTTAAATTGAAAAAAAAATAATTCTGGGATAGATTTTGTAGGAAATTTTATGCTCTACAAGAATCCGCGACGTAAAAATTTTTATCTCAAACGGTTCAAAAGTTATATTTTTTTTAATGAAAAAAGATTTTTTTACGTGTTATTTCAATGGAAAACTTAGAATGCTCACCGAAACCTTTTAAAATTGAGCAAAAAATTTTTCCTTTCAGGAAAATTTTTTGCTCGGTATGTAGGTTCATTTTAACCCATAAATCCGATAGGTTAGTTTTTTTGGCTCACCCTAATATATATATATATATATATATATATATATATATATATATATATATTCGAGGTGTGTTCAGAAAATAACGGAAATTGTTAAATTTCGCGGGTTCGGAGGGTCCGGTTGTCATAAAATTTTCTTTATTATGTTGGTATACATGCCCCCGAAGTATGATAAAAACTTTAGCTGTTTTCATTGTTTACTTTATCTAAGGTTAGACGTGTTTTATGAGCTGGGCGATTTTTCGTTCGTTAAAAGAAATGGATTAAAGAATTTGTATCCAATTTTGCTTAAAAAATGAAATAAATTCTGTGAAATGTTAAAAAAGGCCTAAAGTGAGTCTGCTATAAGTAAAACAAGAGTTTACAAGTGGTATAAGAGTTTCCAAGATGGCCGTGAAGACGTTGAAGATGACGAAGGCCCCGAACGCACAAGCACATTAACAACCGATAAAAACATGGAAAAAGTGGAAGAAATGGTAATAAACCTCTCTGATGATGTTGGTATATCGATTGGCTCATCCCATTAAATTTTTTCAAATGTTTTGGGTACGAAACGC